GATCCCTGTATAGTATAGCGACTTAACAAGGAGGCTTCTTCCATAGCTGCTCTTCATATCGTTTCTAAGTCTGCAACTCTCTGGGGCGCTCATGATTGCACTTCTTGCATACCATGTTTTTTCTGTAATTCAAGAAGTCACATCTGCAGAAAGGATCCCCAATCGGCCAATCCCCGCTCAGTCAGATAACTAAAATTGCGGCCAATTGATCCGCGGTAGATCTCATTTTCACTCTGTCTATGTCTGTAACTTGACTATTTGAGCTATAACACCGGACTTAAAATTTTTTTAAAAGCATATGCTACCTTCTATAAAACTTGGACAACCTTTCCTTTTTGCATGTTCAAAAAAACTTTGTCATTTTCAATTAGAACTCATTGGTGACCCTGTTTTTCGGCTTATCAGTCTTATCAGCCAACAATTCCACCAAACATGTAACTTTTGATTACGCACGCTGAATTGTGTAATAATAAGAAAAAGTAAAGCTATGGTTACTTTTATGGTTGTAGTTACTTTTACGGTTGTATTGGCTAAATTATTGTACACGAACATTTCAACTATTTTTTCATATAATTCTTTCTTCATTTGATTAATAAAATATATTTTAAATATAATTTTTTCATAAATCAACAGAATTAGTCAATCCAACCACCTCAGTCAGAACTTCATAAATTCCAATAAAATCAAGCAATATAGCCGATTTAGATATTACCAAACGGGCTCTTAAAGTAACTAATTTGTGGCTAATGTTATTTCTCTCTTTTCTGCACAAATATGAACCACATAATTTTTAGTTTTTACTTTATTATTCTACGTGCAAATCAACATCGGCCAAGTCAACTTTCTACTTCATTTTTAAGCTCAAAATTAATTTAAAGCAACATTATATTTATGGGACAAAAAAAGTATTCCGTAAAAAAAGTGATTGCATAGAAAATATCGTAGTATGCAGTAACTATTAAAATAAATACTCCCTCCGTTCCGGATTGTAAGACACTACGGTTTACGAAGTTTGAGCGACGATAAAGCAAAAAAGCTTTATAAAAAAGAATTACATATTCAGAAACTACATTAAAAGCTTTACAAAGTCGCAAAAACTAGAATCAAATTTCATAAACATTTGATATATAAAGTAAGAGATTAAGAGTGATTTGTATTGACCAAGTGAATAGGAAAAGTATCTTACAAAATGGGACTGAGGGTATATTTCAAGCAAAAATAGTACTATATCCATCCTATTTTTAATGTATGCTTTTTTTGGGTTGCCCAAAAATATGAATTTTTTTTTATAAATTGGGTGCTTAACTTTTTAGTTTCTCCCTTTTCCCTCTACCAAGTACCAACCATTACACCAAATACAATTGTACTGCCATGTAGTTAATGCAGATGGCCTGACTAATCACATAAGCATTTGTAACAAAATTAAAATGTACTCCGATGATCAGCAAAGAGGAATATACTTACGAGGGACAATTCCACTCCCCGGGATTCAGCCCACGTTTGAGCTGTGGCTCTGTGCACCTTTTACAGCTACTTCTGCTGGCAAAATTAATGAACTCGCATCTGGAGAAAGTCAAATATGAGAAATCCCCGGGGAGGTGGGAAAAAGGGTAATAGTGTAATACATGGTAGCAGTGGAAAAGAAAACGAACGCACTTCTATTTTCAAATGCAGTACAAAAAATCCAGTCCTATATCTTGTTCTATCCACAAGAGTAAATATTACCCTTCATGATTTCTACGTTGGTGGTCTTGCCCCCAATGTTAAACAAAACAAATAAATATCATATTCTCTCCAAGTTTATCCAGCATTTATCCCCTTCGTATCGATAGAGTAAGCGTCTTTTTAGAAGTCAGGGAATGAGAAGGAAATAAAATAGAGAGGGTGATACACTTAGAAATTTGGAAGGAAATAAAATGTTCGAGAGAAACAAAATCTTGGCTCAAACTAAATATATTTACTTTTGATTGGTATTCGAATAAACTCTTATTTGTTTGTTGATACTTCCTCCATCCCACAATAACTATTGCAGTTTTTCGGTCTAAGAAAGTGTTTACAGAGTTGAGAAAAAATACATTATTCAGTCAAATAGACTGCTTGAGAAATAAGACAATCAGACAAAAGGAGAGAGCAACACCTTGTTGGGGTATTAGGCCCAATAACAGGCCGGCCCAAAGACCACCAACAATCGAGACAGCACGATGGACCCAGCACTCGTGTACGGAACCGAGTCAGGGTTGGTCGAGATACCCATCTTGACCACGTGTCTCAGACGGGATGCGACACTTGGAACTTTCTCATCTGCAGCTTTCATGCAATCAGTCTGCCACACCATGGAGTTGGCGGTAAGCGCATTTAGTGCACCAAATATGGAAGATTTTATGGTCGCGGTAAGCCACTAAAGGCTCGCCATGTCACCTCCCCAACCTACTACCTTCTAGTATAAATACCCCAATTTATTTCATTGTAAAGGGTTGACAAATTTGCATTCAATAGTCTAGTCTCTCTACTCTTATGTAAGCTCTCAGCTTGGAAAAGAGGTTAAAGGCTCAGGCCCGATAAGGGTGTGTTGTGACCGTTCTGCATAAATCGAATAGAACGTGACACACTTTACCTTTTCTTCCTTGTTTTGCTTATTGTCATCTATTTAATCATCAACTGACTAAAATAATCACTCAAATATTTTCGCGTAAATAAAGATCCGACGAGTGATGTGGGTAGAAGATCAAGTTATACACCTGTCAAACGAGTTGAGAGGTGTGGAGAAGAGAGGATGACCCAAACAGACATGGATTAGAGGAGTCGGGAGTGTTATGCTTCTTGGGTTGGATGAGGGTATGACTTTGGAGAAAGCAAAGTGGAGGGCCGGTATTCATGTGACGGAGTGATCTCTTATACATATATATCAGGGGTGGGCAAAAATCCCGGTACCGGTGTCTCAAACCGAAAAATCCTGATACCGTTCTGAAACTATCCTGATCCATTTAGGATGCAATTTTTTCAACCCGAACCGGTCTTGTACCGATATTCACCGGGACGGGACCGGGATAGCTATAAAATATCATATCCCGTCCCGGTGTCCCGTTTGAAATTAGTAGGTTATTTTAAATTTCTAATGCTATGTAATAGTCAAACCCAATTAAAACTTTCTAGCCCTTAGTCTCCGTAGTGTAATTTTATCTTATTTCATGTCTCTCTTAGTCTCGTTTCTTTTAGTTAAAATTTGTTTAGTTCTCATTCCGATACTACTCCATATATAATATATTACTACGTGTTTAATATTATTTATGATGGAATAACTACTACTCCAAAATATAGTGTTGTTATAATTTAATATTTTTCAAAATAACCATTATAAAATATATAATCTTTATCGATATGATATTTAATTTAATGTGGTATTGAAACATTACAAGTGTACTACAAAGTATAAAAATATTTTGCGCTACTATTCTACTAGAGGAAACACAAGATTGGGGGGGCCAAAAAATTTACAAGCCAATAATTAAAAAATAGTTAATTAGAGGTTTTACTTATCTTTTTAGAGAAGCTAAATTTACAAAAAAAGTTACGCCTTTATTTTGATGTTATGCTTATTTTTATATCACATTTCACAAATGCTTAACATCCGACCCCCTCTTACCCCACCGTAGGTGGGAGCCTTTGCGGCACTGGGTAATGATGTCATGATGAATCATGAAGTAAAAGTGTACAATATATAACGGCCAACTTCCAATGCAAATTAAGTCAGGCGATGTTAGGTCATGGTTATGTTTTCTTATAACACCTAAAATGAGCTTTACTAAGAGTATAAATTACAGTGGGTAATGCTGAGTGAACTTACTTTGTGCACTTCCAATCTCCTTTTCTCATTTCAGTATCATTATTACCGAGTAATCTCTTCGGTCTGTCCTCACTTAGATTTGGTTGTTGATTGGGCTGTGGCTCAGTGCAAATTCTACAGCTACTTCTGCTGGCAAAATTTATGAACTCGCATCTGGAGAAAGTCAAATATGAGAATCTACGTCAACCATGGTGACAAAAAGGGAAATACAATGTAGCAGTGGAAAGAAAACTTTATATCCCATAAAGATAAGTTTGTATTTGATTTTGGTCCACCTCACAAAGACAGTCTAGTTTCTATATTAGGTGTCCATTGCCCCTATTTAAGTTGTTCATTTCAAAACTCCAAGATGGGCATAAATCATTAATTAAATTTAATGTAGGATAAAAGTGAGAATTACATATGAAGTTAATGATTCCAACTAACTCAACAACAATTTCTTGATCCTCATGCAATTAGATACTAGCCTATGCCTGTTTTTTGGGAGGAGAGTGTGTATATTGATGGTCTTAGTGTCTTACCACCACCACCCTCTTCAATGCTAAAATCTCATATCAATCACATATTTTCCTCAAGTTTATCTAGTACTTGTTCTTCTATATTGAGGGATCAGTAATGGAAGAATCAACTTCCGGGAATTTATGAACAATGAAAACATTGACAAGGCAATTTTGAACTTGATTGGGTTCAACTGCAAAAATCAGATATTCAGACATACTTCCAATGCAAATCAGGTCAGACAAGATTAAGTCAAGAACTCAAGACTCATTAGCAATACCTAAAATGAGCTGCAGTTAAAGGATATTACAGTGGGGTAAGGCTTACTGGACTTACTTTATGCACTTCCAATCTCCTTTTCGCATTTCAATATCATCACCAAAAAATCTTTTTGATGCCTCTGCTTTGCATTCCAAACACTGCATGTTCTTGGCGTAGTTCATAAAGTTGCACCTACAAGAAATCGCATTAACCATAAAAATAGGACATTGAGAAATATAAGCTGTGAGAATAAGTACTAAAAATTATGGCAATACATGAAAAGGAATTAGCATAAAGGTTTAAAGGGTGTGTTTCATTTCAGCAAGCATCAAGGGCATGTTTGAAACCCAGAAACTGCGAGGGAAAAGAAAAAATGGCTCAAAATCAACAAATCAATTTTAGATATTTGTTCAAACTCATTTAGTTATACAATTCTATTATAAAAAGAATAAATATCTTTACACACGAAAAATGGTACGCTCTAACCAATTTTCACTATCCTCTGTATTTCCGAGGAAAAACCATCAACCAAACCGAAAAAATATCTTCCATAGTACGGGAGTATATATTTTTCCACTCCAAGCCTTTTTTCTGGGAGTAACTTCCAAGCATAACCTAAAATACATTACAACACTCTAAAACCAAGGAAGGAAACAAAAGGTGACGGTAAATTGGCAATATACTACTTGGGATTAATAATATTAAATATGACGAGCTTAGCGATTGCAGCCCACTTGATATACAAAGATGTATAAATTTTCATTTTCATGATCCAAGAAAAACCACAATATGGAAAAAGAAAACGGAAAGTAATAGCCAACTTACTTGGAGCATATCCAATCTCCTTTTTTCATATTAACATTGTCCCTGCCAACCTTTTTCCATGTACTTATCCTACAGAAGCATATGACCTTTAGCATGAGTTATGCAAGTGCATTGTACAATTAACAAATAGAGAAGTAGAAACTCGCCTACTTTATGGGATAGAAAAGGAAATGGTTACTTGTTAAAGCTCTCTACATATAATGTAAATATAAGATTTGTTGATGTTGATTCTGTATCTAATTGACTCTGTTTGGAAATTGATACTAGAACCTTTTAAGTCTGAGAAAGCGAATCTTTTTTCCTTGTTTGACATTGTGTCTTTACTTTATTGTAGGAGAAAGAGGCCAACCTTGGATTGTTTCCATAACTTACTGAATTAAACTTATTCCTGTGTAAAAAGGCCAAAAATGCAAAGTGAGATCATTTTGCGATAAAAATAATATAAATACACAAAGCATGTATCTGTGTGTACGCAAAACATGTTATTTTATAACTTGCACACATACATTGTGTTTTAATTTTATGTATGCTTTTAAAAAGTTGATGTATGGCTTAATCACTTTATTATGTATGTGTATGGAGTTGTAACTATATAGTGATGCTGTCAAATTAGCACCTCTCAATATATTTAATCCGGAAATTAAGCCCTCCTACTTTGCAAACACACAATTGAACACCTTAACTTCTTAAGAACACTCAATTAGCATTTTTTATAGGTTCCTCCTGGTTGCCAGTAAATATCCCTTAATTGTCTGCTAGGTGGATTTTCTATTTTTTTTTCTTTTATTTTTTTCTCATTTTCTTTTTAAACTCTCACTTTCCTTTCTGAGATGTCCCAAAATTAGGTTCTAGCTTCTCTTTTTGGTAATATTTGAGTGAAAAGGTACATCAATGAATAGTAATTTTCTCTACCATACTTTTCTGCTTGGTTTTAAAAGGCACGAGGCGGCTTGAGGCGCTTTCATCAATTTACCCGAGGCGTGAGGCGCTAGGCGGTGAGGCGCGCGCCTCACGGATCTCAGGCACATTTTTTTTGGTGAAATATATTTTTAGTACTTCTACATGAAGCACTCTTCTCAAAAATCAAACTATTAAACAATCTTAATAAACATCATCAGAGAAACAAAATATATATTAAAGACAATACGACAGAAGCAAGAAACATATGTTTAAAGGCATAATTGCCAAAAGTCAAGTCACAAAACCCTAATATTGAATGAAATAATCACAAAAACTATGCATTGTGGATTGTTGAAGTAATACAGTAAGAACTAACAAACTTGATATTAAAGTAAAATTGTAAGAATTATACAATTTGATTATAAGCCTCATATATAAAACAATTAATAGTCATTTTGTGATAAATTGTTATATCTGTTATTAGTAATTCAAACAATTAATGTAATAAACTACTAAACTGTTATATAAAAATTTGTTAAAACTACAATATAGTCTGATTCCAAATTGTATATTGTTAATAAGTCTGATAATCTGATTCCCTGCCAGTGTATAACATGCTTGAATATACCAGTGTAAAACAATATACAATTGTTAAAAAATTGTTAATAAACCAGTGTTCTAACACTACAATATTATTATATAGTATTATGATATAGTAATATGTAATAAACTAATAAACTATAAAATAATACACATTTAATCAATAAACTATCACACAAATTCAAATCTGTAAAATTAATTACGGACAGATTTGTAAATTTAAATAATTTAAATAATTTTATAAATTTAAAAACTTAAAATACTTAAAAAACTTACAAACTTAAAAGTCTTGAACTTTTTTTCAGTTATCTATCAACACTAATAAATAGCGAAAGATAATACTACGTATGTATCAGTTATCTAACTTTTTATTTAAATAATTTAATATTTTTATAAATATAACAACTTAAAATAAAAGAGAATAAATAGCAGCAGAAAAAAAAAGTAAATAGACTCGTTTACTACCTCTGAGACGCGAGACACTAGCAGCGAAAAAAAGTCGTAAGCTTCAAACGGGAGATACATCGGAAACGGAAAGGAGGTCTGAATCGCCAAAAAAAATGAAATTGGAATCGGCAGAGAATTTCATCGGCTTCCCTGAGGCGTGAAAAGCGCTCGCCTCTGAGTAGCGCAAAAGGCGCTAAAAAGCGTGAAAAGCGCACGCCTCTAGGAACCTGAGCCGCCTGGGTGAGTTAAATGCGACAAACATGTCGCCCCTCTGCGCCTCGCGCCTTTGCGCGCCTCAGGCGCGCTTTTTTAAACTAAGCTTTTCTGAAAGGGCATAAGTCAATGAATACGATTATTTTTCATAAAAACTCATGAAGTCAAAGTAGGAACTTAATTGCGGGATGAAGGGAGTATTATGTATCTTAATATATAAATAGAAAGATGATTTTTGTGGGATTATAAACTCATCATCATCATCACCCTAGTGCCGCAACAGCTCCCACCTACAGTGAGGTAAGGGGGGTCGGATGTACGCAGTCTTACCCCTGTACTAAAGCACAGAGAGACTGTTTCCGGGTGACCCATAGTGAAGATCGCGTCAAAAATTGCATGAACTGACTCCTGCTTTACAACAAAGAAGCGCAAACATTTTAGTGAACCATTTTGCTTTACTTCATCATATTCCCAAGACAAAAAAGAGTGAGTCTTTGGATCCATTGAAAATGATGGAAATCACATACGGCATTTTGTGGGGAAAAAAATATAAGAATTAGAATCAGTCTTAGAACACGTCCACATGCTACTCCAAAAATGGATTCTCAAGTGTGTAATCATATTCTCCAAAGAAATGTATGATTTCAAGTGCTTCTTTGAGGAGTATAACTAAGTAACTAACTAAACAAACACCACCATAATCTAGTTACCATGATCTTTATAACACAATTTCTCATGTTACCCAACTCTTATAAAAATTTACTAAATTTATTCTTTCAAAACAACATATAAAACACACACACAGTGCTTTGAAGAAATATTGATATAATATCGATTTTCTGTCCACCAAACGAGCTTCAAAGACTTACTTGTGACCCGTTAAGTGTTCATGTAGTTCATCACTTTCCAAGCCTTTGTCAACCATGTAACCAGTACTTCGTTCCATTTCAGGAGAAGTTATGGGAATAGGCTTTGTTAGTTTAGGGTCTATTGGTGTTTCACTCAGCTCAACCAACTCCAACAGCAATTTTCTGACAGATGCTTCAATTTGTTCTCTTCTGGGAGGAGGCTTCTCCTCCCGTGATGTTACAAGTGGATCCAACGCATACAAAACTAGTAGACGTACAATATCAACTGTACGTGCAGATCCTTCAGATTCTTTTAATATTACATTAGCCCTGTCACATGAGCCCCGCAAATTGCATGCATCACATGCCTGCATATACATGCTTCATTAAGTAAGCTATGAAGATGCCAGTTTACTCATCATCATCATCATCATTACCCCAGTGCCGCAAAGGCTCCCAACTACAGTGGGGTAAGGGGGGTCGGATGTACGCAGTCTTACCCCCGTACTAAAGCACAGAGAGACTATTTCCGAATGACCCATAGTGAAAACCGCAACGAAAATTGCATAGACTGACTTTTACTTCATAACAAAGAAGCGCAGACAGTTTAGTGAGTCATTTTGCTTTATTCCATCATATTCCCAAGCCAAAAAATAGTGAGTCTTGCTCCATTGAAAATAATGGAAAGAAGATGCTAGTTCACTAATAGGGTTAATTACATATACCTCTCCATAAGTTTTCAATTACCTAACTGTCCCTGAAGGAGTCTATTACATATAGACCGTTTCAGTAGTCATATTTTTATGAAACATAATAGAATCTAATGATATTAACTTGAATTAAAATTTTCAGGCTGAATTTTGTTTTTTAATTGTGATTTATCAATTAAGATGTTAGATATCATGTTAGAAACAATAAAATCTTGGATAATTGTTAAGAACAATTTACTCTGAAACACCCAATTTCTACTAATTTTATAATAGTGTATCATCTTTCTTTGTAATTTACGAAGTATATGACTTGTAGGTTGTATTTAAATTTCATAATCCTTGAGGATCATTTAGTAGCTTGACCAAACTCCACGTTGGTAGATGTAATTAACACAACCTTAGGCTGACCGCAACCCGTTGGAGTCAATAAATCAAATTCGCCACCTTTTTATACGTATTCACTCAGTCAATCAGTTTTTCTCTGCAACCCAACACCGTCAATATATTCACCCAGCACATTTTTTTTAAAAGAAATGTATACATTCTTACTTTTATTATCACACATCAATCATATGACAAATTGTTTTTTACTAATCATTATGAATTAAAAAGTCAAATATTTCGATGTAAAAAAATATTTTTTTTTGGAAGGTATTAAAATTTGCACACATGACCTTAATTTCAAATAAATTGGAGTTTCCATTCAAAATATGTACTCCTATATTGGATCTACCTAAAAATGTTTTTTTTATTAAATTTAAGCCAGCCCAAAAGTATGAAGAAAAGAAATCCAAGCGCATTCCAGCGAGTCCAGGGCACCGCCTAATTTGAACCGTGCAAACCTCCTGCAAAATGCTGCTGACTCTTGGGACCCGCACTGCTGCCAACTGTTGGCTTCCTCCTTTTGTGCAGCGGCTAGTGGAAATGGTGGGTCAATGTACCCACCGAAATTTTCCCAACTGGTGCCATGCATCCACTTTTGCACCCAACAATACATGGGTTGCAATACTTCTTTGGGGTGAAAAGAATGAATTTGACTTATTCAACTATGGGTTGCAATCAGCCTTATAAACTAAAAAAATAGATCTGTAGGGTGCAAACTTACCTAGAAGTGGAACAAACAAAATAATTATAAAAAGTGAAGAATGACTGAATAAATGAAAAATAAATATAACACCTAACATACATGTCTTTCATTGAGCTGTAGATACACTCTCAACCTTTTTGCAGAATTAACAGCCTTCCGGAATAGATTAGGACATCCCTTTTGAACCACTGCTTGCATATCATGGGTAGGCAACATTCTGCAAAAAATCCACACACACAAAAAAAAACTTGCAAAGAGCATTTGGAGCATCTATTTAGAGCATTTGGTTAGAGGAACATGTATGTTAAAAGCTTCACCCTTGGAGTCATCGCTTTACAACTAAAAAGGACAATTTCCCCCAGCTCACCAGCTAATAGTTAAACTAATGACTTAAAGAGTAACTTTTAAAGTACAAATATTGCAAACATGTTTTTTATTGTTATAAATAAATTAATGAAAACATCTTCCATTTTGAATACTTGCAGTGTACATCAGCTGTCAGCCTGTCACAATTCTGCTAGTTTTACTACTCACAGAAGAAGTAGTAGTAGTAGTAGTATTGTGTGTTTGTGATTGAATATTTTATATCTTCAAAAAAAGATTGAATATTTTAAGATATTGAGCTACCGTGTTACCAAATGTAATTGAATCATCTTCCTCTACGTTTTGAGCTCTAATATTTGCATTTATACTGATGATGGATGCCAAGCAGTTACTGCAGAAACATCATATGTTTAAGGTGTAATAAAAAACACAAATCAAAAAAATGAAAAAGTGAAGAAAGCATTGAAGAAGAAGAAGAACTTACCTCAAAATGTCAAAACGGTCACGAGCGAAATTTAGATAAGCATTCTTCAATATATTCGTTTCTCTATAAACAGACACATCACCGCTCCCTTCGCTCATGGTAACGACAGAAGAAGAAGCATCGGAGATTTTAGGTAAGTAACCTTTGGTCTTCAAACAGTCAACAAAATTTATCCATTCTGGCCAAGGGTGCCGAACATTGACATCACTTTCAGAACTCTCGACTGGAAATGTGAGGACACAGTCGGCCGCGGATGCGGACGAGCAGTGGCCGCGTAACAATACGATTCGGTTGGCGAGGAGGAAAGGGGATGCAATGCGTGGGCAGCGGTAGAGCTGGTTCCGGAAAATTGAAGCTCCGTGAGAGCCAAAAAATATGGAAGCTGACATTTTTGTATTTGAGAACTCAAGGACGGCTGGCGTTTTAGATTGGGTGTAGGGAAAACTGCATAATTTGAAGGGTATTGCACAATTTTAAGGGTATGTTTTCAAAAAAATGATTTTCATTTTTTGGTTTAAAAAGGTCGAATGGTTGTGAAATAAAGAAGTTGGAGAATAGATTAAAGAGATAGATATATTATTAATAATATCTAAATTACTCCTTAATATCTAAATTTCCGAATGAATTTACAAATGTTTGAATGCTCTATTTATACTAGTCATGCTTGGGATGAATCATCTAGGAATGATTCTACATAATTTGCTGTCAACATTAAACCTAGACATTTGTTCTATTACAATGATTGGAACTGGATTAGTGTCCTGATTACAAGGACGAAAAGGATAAACAATTCACACTTGTCATTTCCAGGATTTTACAACACCCCCTTGAATGTTCATCTTTGAATAGATATTTGTTATATTAAAATTTATTATGAAAAATTAAAGTTTGGGGTAAGGATTACGACTTATAATGTTGTTGTATTTGGATGTATTGTCTCGTTAAAAACCTTATCAGGAAAAACCCAGTGGGATAAAAACCTGATGAAGGAAAAAAGAGTGCAGTGCATTCAAATACTCCCCCTGAAATTAAAATAAATTTTGAAGGCAGCGCATGCCGATTTTTTGTACAAGTTCTATGAATTTCTTCGGGGGCAGTGACTTGGTGAAGAGATCGGCCGGATTTTCACTAGATCTGATTTGTTGAAATGTTGATCGTCCCTTCTTTCTCCAGATCATGAGTAGAGAAGAACTTTGGTGATATATGTTTTGTTCTGTCTCCTTTGATGTAACTTTCTTTAATTTGAGCTATGCAAGCAGTGTTGTCTTCGTAGATCACAGTAGGGTGAACAGTAATTGGCTTCATACCGCATTCATTTTGGATGTGTTGAATCATAGATCGCAGCTACACATATTCTCTCCCGGTTTCATATAGTGCAACTAATTCAGAATGATTTGATGATGTAGCTGTCAATGTCTGCTTCATAGATCTCCACGACATTGCGGTGTTACCACAAGTAAGTACGTACCCGGTTTGTGATTTCGCCTTTTGATGTTCTGATAAATATCCAGCGTCTGCATATCCGATTAAAGCGGTTTTTGCATCTTTGTTGTAGAATAGGCCGAGATCAGCTGTATCGCGGAGATAACGAAATACGTGTTTGATCCCGTTCCAATGACGCCTTGTTGGACATGAGTTGTACCTAGCTAATAAATTTACAGAAAATGCAATATCTGGTCTAGTATTATTAGATAAATACATTAAAGCTCCACTAGCACTTAGATATGGGACTTCGGGACCGAGTATTTATCCGTTGTCTTCTCGGGGACGAAATGAGTCATCGTGTATGTTGAGAGAACAACCCACCATTGGTGAAGTCAAAGGATGAGCTTTGTCCATATAGAATCTCTTCAGAACTTTCTCGGTGTAATTAGATTGATGGATGAAAATTCCATTCTTCAAATGCTCAATTTGAAGTCCGAGTCAAAATTTGGTTCTCCTGAGATCTTTCATTTCAAATTCTTTCATAAGATAATTTGCAGTATTTTCAATTTCATCAGGAGTTCCAATAATGTTTAAGTCATCAACATATAATGCAATTATGGCGAATCCCGAATTTGATCACCCAATTAAAACACATGGACTAATCGTATCATTCTTATATCCTTATTTGAGAAGGTATTCACTGAGACAATTATACCACATTCGTCCATATTATTTTAGTCCATAGAATGACTTTTGTAGTTTAATGGAAAACATTTCTCGAGGTTTCGAGCTATAAGCTTCAGGCATTTTGAATCCACCGATAACTTTCATATAAATGTTTGTATCGAGTGAACCGTATAAATATGCAATCACTACATCCATTAGGCGCATTTGCAGCCTTTCAAAAAACAGACATGCCAATGAGAAACCTTAATGTAGTTGCATCAACTGCTGGAGAATAGGTTTCTTCATAATCAATTCCCGGCATTTGAGAAAAACCTTGGGCAACGTAACAAGTCGGGCTTTATATCTAACTATTTCATTCTTTTCATTGCGTTTACACATCAGTTTACACACAAATACCCATTTAAAACCCATAGGTTTTACGCCCTTTGGCGTAGGGACTATCGGTCCAAAAACATCACGTTTTTCAAGTTATTTTAATTCAGCCTGAATAGCTTCATTCCATTTTGGGCAATCGTGTCGTTTCCGACATTATTTAATAGGTGTTGGCTCATTGTCATGGTTTTCATTCATTACATTCGTGGCAACGGCATAGACATATATCTCATTAATATCAACATTTTTTCGATTCCATTGCATTCCAGTAGAAACGTAATTTATTGAAATTTCGTAATTATCTATGTTTCTATCATTATCTGGATCATCTTCCTCATTTAAGGAAGTCGGATCATCATTTGAGATGATCGTTTTGTCAATATCATTTTCTATGCCACTATTTTCAAATTGTTCATTTTCTTGTTCAGAATGATGAACATCTTTAGCATCACAGATCAACTTCTGCCTTTTGGGTTTTCTTGGTTTTATGTCTTTTGATCCAAGTGGCCTGCCACGTTTTTTGCGTATAGAAGAATCATTTGCAAGAGATTTTTCAGAATTCTCTGTTGGGATTTCGATTCTAGCTGGGGCATTCATAACAGGAATATGTGACTTTGTCGTTTTAATTTCTTTGTATCTATGAATGCATCAGGCAACTGATTTGCAACACTTTGTAAATGGATTATCTTTTGAACTTCTTGCTCACATATATTTGTTCTCGAGTCAAGATATGATAATCATGTTGCATTCCATGTTATTTATTTCGTACTTGGGTCTGATTTATTATTTTCTCCCCTAAGGTCGGGAATACTGTCTCATTAAAATGACAGTCTGCAAACCGTGATGTGAATAAGTCACCAGTCATTGGTTCAAGATATTTTATTATTGAGGGAGATTCGAAACCAACATAAATTCCCAACCTTCTTTGAGGACCCATTTTTGTACGATGAGGTGGAGCAATCGGAACATAAACAACACAACCAAATATCTTAATGTGTGCTAAGTTTGGCTCTTGTCCAGTTACTAATTGCATTGGGGAATATTCATGATATGCAGTTGGCCTAAGCCGAATTAAATTTACTGCATGTAAAATAGCATGTCCCCAAGCTGATGAAGGTAAATTACACTTCATTAATAATGGTCTAGCGATTAATTGTAATCGTTTAATCAAAGATTCAACAAGACCATTTTGTGTATGGACATGAGCAACAGGGTGCTCCACATCAATCCCAATTGACATACAATAGTCGTTAAATGTTTGGGAAATAAATTCTCCTGCATTATCAAGTCGGATTCTTTTTATAGATGATCCGGAAAATGAGCTCTTAATCATATGATTTGAGCAAGGAATTTAGCAAATGTTAAATTTCTAGTCGATAAAAGACTAATATGTGACCAATGTGTTGAAGCATCAATCAACATCATAAAATATTGAAATGGTCCACATAGTGGGGCAATCAGCCCAAAAATATCTCCTTGAGTCCTTTCTAAAAATGCAGGTGATTCAGTTGCAATTTTGTTCATAGAAGGCCTCATGATCATTTTGCCAAGGGAACAAACCTTACAAGAAAAATGACTTGATAATGGAACCCTTTTATTCTTTAATGGGTGTCCAAGTGAAGTTTTGATTATTTTATGCATCATTACTTGGCCGGGGTGACCTGAACGGTAATGCCACAACATGAATGTTTTCTGATCATCTAACTTTGTGTTAGAAATCAAATTTATTTCAAATGGACTAATATATGAGAAATATAGTCCTAAGGAATATGCTGGCATTTTTTCACAAATATATTTAGTGTCATATTTAGTTGTCGTAAGACAAAGATATTCCTTTTGGTTTTCATTCATGGTTTCTATGTGATAACCATTTTGACGCATATCTTTAAAACTTAATAAATTTCTTCGCGATTTGCTAGAGTATAAAGCGTCATTTATAATTATTTTGGCCCCGTTAAGGAGCATCACACATGCTTTCCTAGAGCCTTCAATGGGCTTCACAACACCTGATATTGTATTGACTTTAGCTTCAACTAAAGTAATTTGAAAAAAATATATTTTATTTCTCAAAATGGTGTGCGTTGTGGCGTTGTCTATCAGACACAGTTCTTTATCACTTGAGTGATCCATATCTTCAATATATATAAATAAACATAAGCTTGATATGCAAATATCGCAAATTATGCATCATTAACACCATATATTACACACTTATTTATGAAAACAACATAAAGGTAAACAAAGGGAAAAATTACATGATAACATAAACTACTATTTTACAACATGAAAGTCTTATAATTTATTTTGTGTCATTTGGATAAGTGGCAAAAGCATCGTCCATTATGCTGTCATCCACAAAAAAGTCGACAAAAAAGTCGGACACATCAAATTTTGGTAAAGGTGGAGTTGTGTCATTCACATAATTAGCTTCCACATGTTTGGCTTTGTTGAGATTCATGGAAGCTTGAAATAACTCCACTAAATGCTTTGCAGTACGGCATTTGTTAGCCCAGTGTCCCGTCATGCCACATTTGTAACACGTCGTCTTCACCGAGGTTTTTGTAAGACGATTTATTTGATGGGTTTTTTGTTTTTCCTTGCCCTTGTAATTCGGTCTTTCGACCCGTTTGTATTCTCAGTGTGGCTTGTTATTATGACCCTTAAAATGCCCACGTTTAAAATGTCTTCTAATGTCACTGTGTGTTGCATTTGATTCAGTGACTAAATTATGGTCAGATGGGCCATAAACCGAAGGACTAGAACCAGTGGGTCTTAGATTATGATTTTTCATCAAAAGGTCAGTATATTGCTTGATAGAGTAACCTTTTTAGTCGGAGTATTTTTTAAAACCTTCTACTCTAATAATACCGATATTAAGTCGGAGTATTTTTTAAAACCTTTTTCTCTGTATTGCTGTTGGAGCAGCATGTTAGAGATATGCATAGTAGAAAAGGTTTTCTCCAACATATCA